AATGTAGAACCTTACTTTTTTCACCACTGAATTTCATTTTGTTAGATAGCGCCCAGTGTTCAAGTCTGTCCAGGTCCTCCTGTATCTTAAGCCTGTCTTCTGGAGTGTTGGCTATTCCTGCCAGCTTGGTGTCATCCGCAAATTTGATGAGTTCCCCATCTATCCCCTCATCCAAATCATTGATGAAGATGTTGAAGAGCACTGGGCCTAGAACAGAGCCCTGGGGCACCCCACTACAAACTTCCCTCCATGTAGATGCGGTTCCATTGAGGACCACACGCTGAGTATGGCCAGTCAGCCAGCTACGAATCCATCTGGTGGTGATGCTGTCTAACCCACATTTTTCTATCTTATCGAGTAGTAGGTTGTGATGTACTTTATCAAATGCCTTACTGAAGTCCAAGTAAATTATATCCACAGCATTCCTCTGATCCACTAATTTTGTCACTTGGTCAAAGAATGTAATAAGGTTTGTCTGGCATGATCTGTTTTTGACAAACCCATGTTGGCTTTTAGTAATGACTTTGTTTGCCTCTAGGTGTTTGCTGATTCATGTGCATGTGAGAAAGGAGTGGACCATTTTGCATTAGTGCAGATTGTTTTACATTTAGAAAATTTTCAGTTAAAACTGAGGAATAAATCTTTAAAATAGGATCCTGAAATTTTTCCATGCGGTGCTTCCAGATTGGTTGGGACTGCAACAGTCAAAATTTCCAATGAACACAATAATTGAATGTTTAATAATTTTGTTCACTGGAATTAATGGAATAGTAATTCATATTGTTCTACTAGTTATTTTTTTCTGTTTTCTCAGCTTTTGAAGGCTGGCCTTTGAATGCAATCTACCCAAGTGCTAAGTCACAGTCAAACATTAACTTAACCTACCCAACCACCTGGCCTTTCAACATAGCCTCTGACTTCAGGATTTCTGTTGATCGTTTCTGTGAGTATGTTTATCTGGTGGCGATCTCCGTGGGTTTTCTCTACAAGTTGCTCAAACAACTTCACAGCAACAGCTAGAAAAGCTCTTACAGGCTCTAACCCAGGAGTCTGAATGATCCAACTCGTGCTGAGAGATTTTGCTACTTCTCCAAATTTCTTTATCTGTAAACATAGAGTGAATATTTTTTTTAAAAAAATGCAACTACTGAAAGACAACAGGTATTTATGGTGGGGAACAGCTCTGGTTCACCTTAAAATTTAAATCAAACATTTATCAATAGGATCAAAGATCTGTTTTGTTCTACTTGTGCAACAAAAGTATTTGACGATCATAACACTTAAAGTATTTCAATTAAAGCTTAGAATAGTCTAGGTTTCATGAACCAACCAGTCCTTTCTTAGGAAAAAGATGAAGATCAAGAGCTGGTGAAGAGACAAGCAAATACGAAATAATGATGTCAAATAGGCAAGTGCCAGATTGTTTTTAAAAGGTTACCTTGGAACAAAGTCCTTTTAAGAGAGGGTGACTTCTACTATCTCTGCTGTTGGAATCATCCTGCCTAATAACATTCAATCACCAGAACAACATCCATAACAGCATTATTATTTTTTTGCCATGATTCCAAAACTTTCTCTTTTTTCAGGCTTTCCCTGAACTGAGCTTACTTTAGCTTATCACTAACTCTTGATTTCTGATACCAAATTCTCTGTTTGGATCTCTGGGCTTGACCCTGTTTTTGTTTACCACTGTCAATTGTTTTTTTTTCAATAAAAGGGAAAAAGAATGACTAGAACATTGATTTGGGAAAGTTACAAGTGGCCTAAGGGTTCAGATGGATTTGAAGTAAAATTTTGAAATTTCCAATGAGAAAATGCTGTTATTTTGAATTCTTTAAGAAATTATAGGATGGCGCTTTGAAAACGGGACACTAGAGGGAACTAGAAGGAACTAAAGATTATTAAAGGAGACCAGTTAAATTTGACTTACTAATATACAGAATGGAGCTAATTTTAAAAGACTTTGCCATTATAGAAAGGCTATGCTTAAAAGATATTACGGAAGAGGAACAAGTTTTATCAGGCAAGGCTGAGACTGATTTGAAAGGGGATTTTAAAATGACAGGCTATAAGAAAGATATGGAAAAAAATGCTACACTGGGTATTTGTTTGTTTGTTTATATCCCACCTTTTTTTAACTTTTATAAATAACTCAAGGGGGTTGCTACATAGTAGTCCCTCCTATTTTCCCTACAACAACAGCCCTGTGAGGTAAGTTGGGCTAAGAGAGAATGACTGGTCCAAGGTCACCCAGCTAGCTTCCATGCCTATAACACAGAAGTGGAACTCACAATCTCCTGCACCTTAACCATTATTAGACCAAACATGCAAGAGAAACTGTGATGTCTTAATAATTAAGAGGGATCTACAAGTAACACATCAAAAGAGTGGCCTGTATGTCTTCCCTACATGGTATTTACAAAAGAGACTTTTGTTAAAGTTTTGAAGGATTTTGTGAGAAAGGACAGAGAAAAAAATGAAAAGAAATTAAGTTCCAGGACATTATTTGAAAGGATTAAAGATCAAGATTGGTAAAGTAAAAGGAAGGGATATAAAGTTATTTTATGTGATTAAGGTTATATAGGTATGTTGTTAACTCTGTAATAATAAAGCCTTAAAGATTTGTTTATAGATAACGCATATGGGAAGAACAGATCATTTGTTGTATTTTAAGAGAAGGTGATAAGTTTCTAAAATTGTTTATACTTGTTATGGAGTGGAAAGTTATTTCATTATATTTTTCTTTTATTTTTTTACTATATTATTTTTCTTTTCTATTTTGGCTTCTTTTCTGCATTTGGTTTTTTTTATTCTTTTTTTTAAAGTTTGTATTAGCTCATACCTTTTTAATTGTAACCTTTAATTGTAACCTTTAATTGTAACATTCAACAAAATTACTATTTTTAAAAAAACAGCATAAAACATATTAAACTAGAACAGATTAAAGCAGCCAATATAAAATGCTTTGCATCTATGAGGCCACAGAAAAGTATTCTGGCATAATTTACATCTACATAGATATTAGTTAATGGTAAACTAAAACTAAAGAATTTGGATCAGAATGCTTAGAAATTACCTTTGTTGTGCTCTCCTCTGCAATAATTG